GACCTGCTCTGGAATGATGCAGCCAAATGTTGCAATTCAGCAAAACACACAGCTATAGAAGCCCTCGGCATGAAGAACACTCCATCTGTGGGTGGTTCTTAGGTTCTGAGTGAACAGAAGAGCTTCATAGGCTTTTGAGGAAACAAGTAGAAACCACAACATACAGCAACTGTGTCCCTGAGTGAGGACAGAAGAGTCCCAATCTATCCCCTGGGTGCTAGGCCGGTGAGCTTGTGTGCGGAGGGATATGGCTTACAGCAGTGGTTCTCCAAGTGTGGTACCCAGACCAGCAGCAGCAGCAGCATCACCTGGATTTAATAAGATCTCTGGTGACTAGGAGACACATCAAAGTTGGAGAAGCACTGGCTTATAGGTCAGAGTGGGGCACTGCACATTGACCCTGTGTAGCCGGGATCCTGTGTGACTTAATGGGGAAGAGGCCAGTCTGGTTTAGAAAGTCCTAGATTACAGTCCTGGTTCTATACCAACTGGCAATCTGACTCAGTTACTTTACTTCTGGGGAACAGCTATAGAAGAAGACCCCTGGTTTTCTAACTTGACCGCCCACTGTAATCTCCGGGAAATTTGTTTAAATTATAGATGCCCAGGTCCCACACCCAGAGATTCAAATATAATTGGTATGGGTGCAGCCTGGACATCGGGAGCTTTAAAAGCTCCCCAGGTGACTGTAATGTGAAGCTAAGGCTGAAAGCCTGTGCACTTGATGGTCTGTAAGGCCTTATTAGCTCTAAAATACAATGACTGGGTCAATTCTATGGCTCTAGGTAAGTATTAGAGGTAAAAACAATTTTTAAGCCTAAAGCTAGGACACTCCCAAGGACTTGATCTGTTTTATTATGTCCCTGATTTAAACAGGTTTAAGAATAATCATCGTTGAAAGCTCTGATTAATTAGGTTCCAGTTCATTGAAGTCTTACTCTAATATATTTCTTTAAGTGGATTTCATATTTCACATGGGGAGTTTCAGAGCATGTGCTCTAGTCCTCATCAGAGCCTCCACTCAAATTTTATTTATGCAAGTTGATGACTTGCCTATCTATTTTTTTCCTTTGAAGTCAAGTTATAAATGTACAGTGAGTTCTGTCCTCTTATACTAACCTATGATCTTTTTTAAATCCACATGTTCACTGAAGTTAGAGGAAGGTATTTAAAAATAAAGAGGAGCTGTTTTCAGTCTTCCTTCTGAACAACTGCATTGCATTTCATCCCCTCCTATGTGGATTTCTTGCTGTTTCATTTGGGAAAAGACATTGTGGTTTTGGCTTCCATTGACTGACCTATTTAGCTTCCCCACTTTGGGTAAGTTTAGCTAGGTGAATCAATTTATATAGTGTCCTCTAAGTTGTCACTCTTAGTGACAAGCAGAAAATTGAAATTTGCAAGCCGTTAGCTGTTAAGATGGTACCTGAGACTTTAAGGTTTAAAAAAAAAAAAAAAGCAAGTTCAACTGGTCAGATTACGAGTTCTTTAAAAAAAAAAAACCTCTATATGTACATGATGTATTTTTAATAAATTTAATAGGAACAAATACATCTCAGCCTTATGAGAGACTGAATCACTGTCCATGGAGCCGCCAGAAATCAGCAGCCCCCTCCCAGTTCCTCTCTCAGGCCCCACAGTGTTTGGAGCTGTTCTCTCTGAACAACTGCCGCATCCTTCTCTGCCTGAGGACTGGCCTTCTCTGATTCCCCACACTCATGACAAAAGATGGGTGCCCACCACTTTCAAGCTTGTAACATTTAAGTTCAAGCAAATGGCCCCTCATTAACATGACCCTCTCAAGGGAAGCTCTGAATACCCAGGAAAGAGAATGTGAGAGCCCAACATATGTCAGGTGTCCACACCTGCTTCAGTCTGTGGCCACGGATGGGGAGGACATTACGTATAAACATGGCTGCCACCACCCACCATGTTGGAGAACAAGGAGCAAAGCTCAGAGAACAGGAAGCATCAGAACTAGGCAGATTCCCCAAAAAGGAGTTTCCAACCATTGCCCATTTATTTGAATAATAGAGCTTGAATGGCAGGTTGTCTGAGACCCAATTATTCCCCCAAGTTGGGCTTTTGTCATGGATATCAGACACATCCCCACCTGAGCCCTCCTGTGCCTCACTAAGCAGTGATGGAGGTAATAGATGGATGATGCTGTGTGCTATACTGTCTCAAGCATGACTCGCATGACAAAGGCTGACAGTTATTCCCAATATCTATTTCTTCTTCTCCTATAAAACTAGAACTTGTAGTCAGGCAGATAGCCAGCTGGAAAAAAGGTTACATTTCTTAGTTTCCCTTGCTTCTAGGTATGACTATCTGACTACATTCTGCCAACAGGGTTTGAGCAAATCCTCGTAAAAGGGAGGGGTTCTCCCGCTCCTCTTCCTCAATCCTTCATTCTGCTGCTTAGAACGTGGTCGTGCACATGGGAGCCAGGCAACCTGGACTGTGAAGATGCAGAAACACTCTAAGGTTGGCAGAGCAAAAAGATAGAAGGTGCCCGGGCCCCTGATGATGTCAGAGAGCAAAGCCACCACATCGCTTGACCTTTTATGTAAGAAATACATGCAGGTCTACCCTGTTTAAACCACTGTTACTTGTTTCTGTCACACACAGCACAGACTACGTCCACTGCTTGTACAATCATAAAGCTCCAGAATTTCGGTCTTATAATGTAATTTAGAAATTGTCTAGTTCAACCCTTCATAGTACAAATGAGGACTTAGTGACCAAGAAGAGAAAATGACTGCCTCATCACATATTTGGGGTTCAACCTAGGTCTTCGGACCCCAACCCACCCGACTCCCAGCCTCAGAGCTTTGTCCGTCATACTGCACCAACCATTTCCACTAAGTCACCAATGAACACTGACATGCATGATCAAATTTGGTTTTTAAAAACTTGCTCCCACATACAAGATGATGCCTAAGTGAAACAACAGCAACTCCCTCCTTATAAAAGGAACAAAGTGTTCTAGTTCTGGGTCTCCCTTCTTTCATTTTTCTATAGCCCACACTTTGGACCCTCTCTAGATCTCCACTCCCTCAGAGTCACATTTAGGAGGTGCTTTGGGACATGCAGGAAGACCCTGAATCTCCCCGGGCCTCCCATTCCCCCTTGGAAAAATGAAATTGGACAAATTCATTTGATTCTGAAACTCTTAAAATTTTGTTAAGGCTTCCATCTTTGGAAAGTGGGACCTCTAAGAGCAAAGGTGGAAAGGAAAGACTAACGAGGGTTTTCCTTCTGTTTGCCCTTCTTGGGGGAGTTTACATTAATAGAACTTGGTTTTGGAACTCTCATTTCCACCCACTTTGAGGGGGAAAAAAGGCACATATAGAACCCCTAAACACACACAAACTGATTGTACCCAACCTCGGACCCATCGTTTGCTTTTGGGAAAAAAAAATACATGGGGAGATGAAATCAGAAAAAAAAAAAAAGTAGAAAGGACCCAAAAGGTTGTATGCCTCTTTTTACCAATAGGAGTAAAGAACAAAGAGGACAGAAGGAAAATCAATCCAGAACTCAACAGTATACATATAATCATCTACCCCCTGCTTTAACAAGTAATTTAAAATTGAGCCTTTACGTATTTGACTCCTGCTTACTTCTTTGCTGCCCCCACTTACGCTCCTCCCTATACTGTCCTTGTCACTCACTATAAAGCAAAATGCAGCCTCCATTGTGCCCTCACAGTGAGGGGGGAGGGAGGGAGTGATGCTAAAGCACCAGCTGGTTAGGACAGGTGATCATGCCTCCACCAGGGGGAACTGATGAAGCCTTCAAAGGGGGCTCCGAATCCCTCCAGCAGAACTAAGGAGCTGAGAGATGCCACTCAGTGAGAGGCAAGTGGCAGTGAGAGGTGGAGGAGTGAGAGGTGAGAGGAGTGAGAGGTGGAGGAGTGCTCTCTGTCTGGCTCTGGGGCAGAAGCAGCCCCTGGATGAAGCCACGTTCCACCTCTACTCTAGAGAGTTGCCCAGGAACTCGGCCATCTCCCGTGTGCTTCCTGTTTCTGAATGTTCCACCTTTCCCAGTTCATCTCCTAGGCCCCAGGGAAATGTGAAGATCTGTCTGCTGGACACAGACAGGGAAGCTGAGCACCACCACCTTCCACAAATCTCTCTAAAATGCCCCATCATATTTATGCCTCCTAGATATTGAGCCTTGCCCTTAAAAATATAAATGCAAGACCTCCTTTGCAAAGGGCAGCTCAAGTTTCAAAAACACACCAGGAAGGTTTTTCTGTTCACACACTGGATCAAGACTTCGGTTTAATGAATTAGCCCAACCCTGCATTTGCACCAGCAGGTGTCTCCAGGGAGAGGTGCAGCGCCCTACTCACAGCCTCTACTCCAACCCCTGGCCCCTGTTCCATCCATTAATAACAATTGCAAATAACTGTGAATTAGAATCTTTCCCATGCAAGAAACTGTCTTTAAGAAAACAGATTGTTCTTTACGCACTGGAGATGGCTGCTTCAAATTTCCAAGCTAATAGGTTAAAGAATGCTAAGGAGGCAAAAACAATCATGAGACAATGTTAATTAAACCTGAATGGAATTACTAATTAAGAATAGACCCAGGAAAACAAAATTTTCTTCAGCCAAACTGAAATCTATATGTGAGTTACAGGCTGAATTCACGGCATTTAGCCTTTCAACTGCAAGTTGTAACAATTTTGGGAAAGTGCCTATTGAGAACAAGCTATTCCCAGGATGCCATTCGCGGCAGCCGAATTCTAACATCTCCATCAGCAGCAACATTTTAAACTGCGTGGATAACATATTAAAATAGCCTCCACTTTCATAAATTCAACCTTGCCAGTATTTGCGAACACTGAATTCTGAAAATCATGTCATAAATAAAAATTTCATGAGCCACCGCCTCTTCTTTAAACTCAGCCGCGGACCATAAAAAAATTATGAAGTTACATCTCTCCAAAATGTACACAGTCTCTGGGGCCAAGGGAGACTTCCCAGATGAAAGAGGAAAGTGTGTGGTCCCTGGGGGCCTGGGCAGCCTTGCCCCGCAGCCCAAAGATGCCTCCACATCTTGTAACTCCTGCAGCTTCGCCCTTAAAATGAACCTTAGTAGCTGACAGATACCAACAGGTACTCAGACTCAAAGAGAATGAAGGTGGAATAACCATTATCACTAGTTCCTGGTGCTCAGCCTCGATCTTGGAGACATCACAGTCCTTTCCCAGCTGTCCTCCAATCAGCAGTGACTTAGTGGCTCAGGGTAGAGGATGGGGGTGCCTGGCAGGACTAGCTCAGTAAAGATGCTATAAACTGGACTGCATTTATTCATTCTTTTAACGCTGGTCTATCAAGGTCTCCATTTTATCAAGGTCTATACAGTACTGCATATAGTATAAGGACCTCTGAATAGCACAGAGATCCAAACAGGCTCTTAGGATCAGCCCTTGGAGAACAGAGCAGGTGGGGAGCAGCCCAATTTCCCTTTGCTGCACCCCAACTTGGGACTGGTTCTTCCTCCCTCTTCCTCCTTCTTTGCAATGACTCAGAACTCTCTGTCCCCATCAAATCTGCTTTAGAGTGCCTGATGTCAGTATCAGGCACTCAGGATAAAATGTCTGACTGCTGTTGTTCATTCTGTTAGTCCTTACTCTGCGTCAGGCCCATCCACGCTGGGAACTGTCCCTACACTGACTCATTTCACTCCCATCACTATCTGTGTGGGGTGCAGCTCAGATCAGCAAAGGCTGCTCAAGGCCGTGGGCTTCCTTCAAAAGCTATGTACAGAGGCCACCACAGGCTGCCCACGTCCATCAGAGTCAAAGCCCAAACTTTCACAGCAGGTCCTGAAGACCCTGCCCCATTGGCCCCATGGCTGACCCCCGACCTCATCTCTGCAACCCACCAGCACACGTCTGCTTTGGGGCCATGATGCTGGCTGTGTCCTCTGCACTCGCTTTCTCAGAGACCAGCATGGTCACTTTCTCATCTCCCCTAAGGCTTTACCCAAATATCACCTTCTCGGTGAGACTTTCCCTGATCACCCCATTGAAAACTGCAACCCTCCAACCCCCCTGCCCCACTGCCCACACACACATCCCCTACCCCACTTCGCCTACTTTATTTTTCCCCATAGCAATTATTACTGTCTAAAACACATGATTTAGTCATTTCATTTGTTTATTTTCTCTGTTATATTCCCAGCTGTAAGCTCCCAAGGCCAGGGTTGTCTGTCCATTTTCCTCACTGCTGTAACTCCAGTATTTGGAAAGTAGGCACTCAGTAAACATTTACTGAATGGATAATGAAGAACTTGTTTAAAACTACATTCCCTTCATAATTCTGTGGCCTCTTAGGGCATTTCTGATGGGGCATAACATGGGTGGATTTTAGTGAAGCAATAAGACTGGATTAGACAACCAATTCCTTCTTTTCTACCCAATCTTTTTATTGCCCCATTTCTCCTTATATGAATTTAAAAGGGTCCACATGAAAGCAGAAGAGTGTGGAGTGCTGGGAAATTGCTGTGGCCCCTTTTCAGAAACCACCCACAACATCATGTGATTTGAGGGACAAAAAGAGATCCCTGTCACCAAAATAGAACCTCTCTTTGCTCTCTCTGACTCTTTGTAATAGGGTGAAGTTGGTTCGCAGAGACATTAAGCACTCAATGTCGTCTACTTTTCTTTCTGTAGTTTTAGGTGGACATCATTTCAGCTTATCGATCCTAGAGGAAAGAAAGGCCTTTCCTGCCTGGTGGCCAGCGGAAGGCCCAGAGAGGCATTTTGATTGGCTCAGTGTTAAAACATCATGACTAATCAGGCCTGGAATGTGTGTCCACTGCTACGGCCAAGAGCAGAGGCAGCATCCCTAGAACCATTTGACACAGAGAAGCAACAGTTCTCCTTTGGGAGGTGGGCCATTGAGAAAAGGAGAGAGAATAGAAAGAGAGGATGAAAGGGAGAGAAAACTGAAGGAAACCAGAATATGTCACTCCAAATATGCTTCTCTGACATAAAAATTATCTTGAGCTAAAGGCACTTAACAGCAGGTGCAAGAAGGATGCTCTGACCTTCCCCCTTTTATTCCTGAAAGCAGGAGATAAAACCCCATGTGGAAGATGTCCTCCCTACACGGGAAAGAAAGTACCATTACCATCATCTGTCTCCAAGGACAGGAAGTTATGACTGAGAGAATTCTGTACAAACAGGTTTTGTTAAAATAATTCTGATCTTCCTTTAGTCTCCCCACATAGTTTAGTTACTTTTCCACACCTGTTTCTTTCTGTTCAACCTGGAATAAAGCATTTAGGTTTTCCTTGGGTCTTCCTTTCCTTATGAGGGCTCCTGTGTCACACAGAACTCACATTAAATAAATGTGTATGCTTTTCTCCTGTTAATCTCTCTTATGTCAACTTAATTCTAAGGCTCAGCCAAAAACCCTAAGAAGGTAAAGGTAAGATTTTTGCCTCCTCTACAAAACCGACATGCAGCCCATAGAGAACAGAGGTGCCAGGTCCACCCTGCTTGAGGGGACAAGGAGAGGCCTCCACAGTAAAGACGAATGGTCCCCACAGTCTTGGAGGAAACCTAAGGCATTCACTCTTTCTTCTCTTCCTTCCCAAAGATGCTGCTTCAAATCCCAACTTGTAAGTGATCTGAGAACTGGGTGATACCATAATCACATCCGTATATTGCTTTCTTATTACTCCACATGACAATATGTGAGGTGTAATTATCTCCCTTGATCCCTCAGACTAGGTTTGTAACGTAGAAACAAGTTAATCCAAAAGATTAACTTCAAATCACAAAATAGCAAACAGCAGAAGCAGAACTCACACTCCAGCTCCTAGTCTGTGCTCTCTGCACAAAATCACACTTTGCTCTTATCACAGAAACTTCAAAATGATGTGCACTTCATTAAGCAGGATGGCTGAAATATCATACCTATTTTAACATATATTCAGTGTTATGGGCATATGTCAAAAAGATAAAGCTTTTTGCTCCCTCAGAATTTGACAAGTTAAGGTCAGGATCCTCAAATCAAGCAAATATGAAAATACAACATTTTCACATTTAAGACAGGAAAGGCTTTCTTTACTAGAACTTGAATGCAGCATCAATCGCATTCAATTTACAGACCTCCAACCCTCTCCTTGCTTGTGTTCATTCTAAAAATTAGCATGCCATTCCTGAAGATCTCTTACACATCTATTTACAAGCAGCTATGAATTCAAATCAGATGGCAATCTTGGGATCCAGCTGTTGCTTCTCCAGCCCACAAAATCTCCACAAACCCCCCCAGAGTGCTAAATTACTACCTCAGTCCTCTTCGCTTAACCTCAAACTGGGTCACCCTCTAATCAAGCAACATTAATGACTAGCAACATATTTTTCTTCTCCTCTTAATTAGAGTAATTCCACCCTGGCAGCAACTCTCAGACTGAAACTATGCTAATGACAAAGTTTTGATTCAGAGAAAAGCGACAAGCGATCAAAAGTAACTAACCCAATTGACTCCTGGTGGACTGCCAGTCAAGAGAGCAGGCCAGTGGCTGATTTACCATGAAGCTAATGAGACCTCAGCTTCAAGGTCCCTCAGGTTGCCCAGCTCTTTCCAAGGCCCCAAGCAGTCAGTCACGTGGTCACATGTTTTTGTACATTTTTCTGAAGACATCTGAACCACAATTGGCTAAGATTTGTCTCTCTTTCCATTCTAACTCTTCCTCCGCCATACTTGCCCTCAGCCTGGGTAGCACTGGAGTGGCTGCTGGCATTTTTGGAATCTGCATAAGGGGTAGTTTGAGATGAATTTACTTTGGGTTTAGAGGGCTGTATGCATGTAGTTTGCAGTCATTTCCATGTACAGGTTAAGTTAATGCTGGCTGCCCTGGTACAGAAAGGGCTTTCATGAATACGCCTACCAGGTACTTGGGCCCTCTCACCCATACCACAGAGGGGAGGAGCCAGAGGTCATGCTAAGGGGTCAGGTCCCCCTTATTGGACAAAGTACTTTAACCTCTCAGAGCCTGAAAGTCTCATCTTTAAAATGAGGATAGTAATGTTACCTATCCTGAAAACTGACATAGCTTATTAAAATAGATTATTAACACTAACATTTCATACTCTGTATCCAGTCATAGTGTTACCTGCTTAACATACATTATCTCAACCCCAGGGAGAGAAAAATTTGGCAATTTATTGAAGGTAACATAGCTGACAAATTGAAGAGACAAGTGATGAATATGAACAGTCTTGCTATATGAGCCTGCTACATGCGGGCTCAACCCAGATGCTCCATGTTATCATTAATAGCTAACATTTACATGAAGCAGGGCCAAGCCAAGGCCAGGGACTCACTGAAGATTGATAGTAACCAAGGTTGGGGGGATGGGGAGGCGGGTAGGACAGACAGAAGGTCTAGGCTGTAGTCCAAGGATCAGGACAGGTATTATAAGCTGCAAGGGAAACACTAGCAAAAACAACTAACGTGTGTCAAGAATTGTGCTAGGCATATTGCACATCTTTAATGGGCTCTTTCTACATGTATTAAATCAGGAAAGGAAGTTTGAAAATAAAATAATAATATTCAGTGCTGGCAATATTTTTGCAAAGCTGCTACATTCATTTATTCATGTCAGGTATGTAAACTGTTACACTCTTGGAAAGCAACTTGACACTATATATCCATATCCATGAAGATATTCATAGCCTTTGACACATTAAGCCCACTGCTGAGAATGTACCCGAAAGAAATCTTTGAAAGGAGCAAAAGATCTATTTACACGCAGATACTCACTACAATGTTATTTGTGATAAACTCTGGAAGGCTCTGAAATGACCAAAGAGGGAAACTGATAGGTAAACGATGGCACATCACCTTGATGGAGTAACACAGGCTCATTAAAACGATTCATGAGGTCTAAGTGAAAATACGGACTAACATATTATATGTGAAAAAAGAACTCAACGGCCAATTACACTATTTTTGCAACTATCAATCTGTATGGATAATGGCAGGAAACAAAACCAAACCTCTTCTCCTTCTTGCCCCATCCAGGATCCCCAAAGCTAGTGATGGAGTAAAGCCTTTGATCAGAATTACCATCCCTGGCTGCCGTCTAGCACACTCCAGTCATCTTTAAGGACTCAGCTCAGACATCACCCCAGAGCAGTGCTTCTCCACCTCGGCACTCCTGACACTGGGGCCAGATCACTCTTCCTTGCAGCAGGCTGTCCTGTGCACTGCAGGAGGTTTAGCAACATCCCTGGCCTCCTAGATGCCAGTAGCACCTCCCCACCCAATTCTGACAATCTAAACTGTCTCCAGACATCACCAAATGTCTCCTAAGGGACAAATCACCCTACTTCCTCCTCCAACCCCCTCCTGCAGAAGGATTTCCATCTATATACTCCCATTACATATCTATGCCTATATATAATATATACCTGTATGTAATATACACTATATGTAAATAAATACCTATATTCCTGTAGTATATATACCTATAATATATAAATATCTCCCTTTTCTCCTTGTCATTTCATTCCATGGTTAATTCTCTACCTGTCTCTCTCCTCAGGCAGACTTTCCTTTCTCCAAGGTAGAGGCTGTATCCTGAACAGCATTATATCCCCCGTGCCAAGCACTGGGCTTGGCACACAGTAGGCGCTCAACAAGTCCTATGGAGTTCAACAATGGCCTAGTGGATCCCAAAGCCTTTCAGAAACAAATAGCAATGACCCTAAGCTAGGGTCATAACACTTTTTTCTCTCCTAAATTAGGGTGGAAAGGAGAAGTGGATGGTATGTGTGTTAATTAGTGGGGGAAAAAACTAGACTTTATCCTTTTCGCTGACAGAGTTGTTCAAAAAAGTTTGGAGTTGTGTTGGGGAATACCATCAATGAGTTTCCTAGTT